TCTTATCATGAAAGGGATTAATTCTTTGATCTTTATTTGGAATTACATCTGAGCCTAGTCTTAAGAAAGTTATAGTGATAAAAAATTAGCTTTCTTTTTCTGTTTGCGTTAATTTTGTTGCAGTTGGTTATGTGAAAACAAGTTTTGGCCAAGAATCTTCAGCTTCAGTTTCAACATAGAAGTCCACCTTGCCTGCGAGTTTTTGGTTGCGGTTTTTTCCCGCAGACCTTCGCTTTAAGCGAAGAGTAAATACCAAGGTGGGGACTTGGGGTGATTTTCTTTAGGAAATCTTTGGGTCCGCAATAGTTATTCCCCCCCCCCCTTATCTGAAGATCCAAAGCGAAGAGAAAAGTAACTTGGAAATTGGAAGACGACTCGATGGATTTTCTGCAAGGCTCTCACTGTTTCTTCAAATGAGAAGTAAAAGTTCCAGAGGATCTGCAGCAACAGCCGAGATCAGGACAAGAGAAGACTTCCCGGAAAACAGAGGAGGAGGAGAGCAGAAAACAGAAAGTAGCTGGGAAATTGGAAGACGACTCGATGGATCTTCTGCAAGGCTCTCACTGTTTCTTCAAATGGGAAATAAAAGTTTCAGAGAATCTGCAGCAACAGCTGAGATCAGGACGAGAGAAGACTTCCCGGAAGACAGAGGAGGAGGAGAGTAGGAAACAGAAAGCGACTTGCAGCAACTGAGATCAGGACAAACAAAAATTTCCCGAAAAATGGAGAAAGAGCGGCATGTTCACCTAATTGTCGGGACGACAATTAAAAGAAGGGGGGCAGTGTTGCGGGCGCATCGAGGCGCCGTATTCATGTCGCGCCTGAAATCCGCGGCTTACAAGTGATCTTTAGCAACGGTCGGTGTGCTGTTTGTTTTGAGAGCTGAAGGGAGTCTCTTGACAGCTTCAGCAACGTGCGGACGTTTTGGCTAAGAGAGAACGGTTTTCCCGGCGTATTCTTTTCTGCTCAAAGAATAAAGGCTACTTCTTTTTTTAAAAACTGTTGTAGTTCTTTCCCCCGCGCTCGCGAGTGTAACA